ACTCATTGTACTAACAACAAGTCTTCCAATAAAGAAAGACCCAATCATTGTACTAACAACAAGTCTTCCAATAAAGAAAGATCCATCATTGTACTAACAACAAGTCTTCCAATAAAGAAAGACTCACTCATTGTACTAACAACAAGTCTTCCAAAAAAGTAAGATCCATTCATTGTAATAACAACATTCATTATACTATCAACAGCTACTCGTTGTAACTGTACTGATGCTAATTGAAAATATGTCTGCAAATTCAACAATACAGTATTTTAGCAGAAACTACGAATGGACTCTATAAAGCATGGTCATAAAACACTTATGTCATATATAAACTATGGAGTTGTATTTGTTTTTGTATGTAAAGTGAAACACAACTACTGAGGTGGCTTTTTTTTTTTACTGGAAGAGAGAGCGAAATGTCGACAGTCTCAATTAAAAATCTGAATATCACCTCACCTAGAAATTTTGACAAAACGACTTGAAATTTTGCATTTAGTCTCTTGACCTCACAGATTATAAAAATGAACAGATTTATTTTCTTGACACTCTTAGATTGGTCTGAATCAAATTACTTTAAAGTTGTCAATTAACATGTACAGAGACGTTAAAAACAATAACTTAAATTCAGATTTATGGAACCTTAAGTTTGAGTCCCCATGTGAGGTCAAAGGGTTCTCAGAACTTGATCCACGAAACTACATGAAGTTTGACATTGACATGTAAGGGATAATTGGAAAAAAAAATATCATCATCCCGAGGTCACTTACGGGGAGTGACTGAAGAGTTTTGGATGCTGTCATGATTGACTGCATGAATTTGCTTGAAAATTTACAAAAAACTTATAAATTGTCGTTCAAAGCCAGGCTTGTGAAATGTTTTGCTAAGTTTTTGTTTTCATAAATTTTCCCGAGCATCTAACTAGTTAGAACAGTATTTGTATAAAACGTAATTGAAGACAGTTAGAAAGACATTAAGAAAGCATTTGGTTTCGATCATGTACAATAAAGGTGTCTTATTTGATCATTGAAGCCGATCTTTCCCAGAACTTCAAATTTCCATGTTTTATGTTGCATCTTTGCTGTCAATTTTATTTTATTTTACATCCAAATGTAAAAATTTATTCATAAGCTATTTTGTTTTAAAATCTAATCTAACCCAATGTCTTACATTTTACATAATTTAAACACAAGCAATGACATTAATGAACAAAACTGCTCTTCGGCAGAGTTAATAGAAAAGGGTAAATTTAGTCTTTCCTACACTAAAATGAGGAATTTTTTTCATAATTTTGTTATTTTTATATGTTTCGAAAGGCCAACGTATTTTTAGGATAACATTATTTATTCTGTACATTAGTATAAACCCCTTGAGGCAATAATACTGTGCTTACGTACATTTCCATATACAGTTGTTGTTGTTTTTTGAAGTTAAGCACAAAGCTACACAATGAGCTCTCTGTACTCTGCCCACTACGGGTATCGAAACCCGGTTTTTAGCGTTGTAATCCATATACAGAATTTTAATTCATCAAATTTCCAGATATTGAAACCTATATTCATAAGTGTTATAGCAAACAGTTTATATTCATTGACCATGGAATATTTATTTGTTTTACAGTAAGTTGCAAAGTTGTTTGTTGCAAGAGGATTTAAGTGCAATGAAGAACTTCTGTTTAAAGAACTCGTGAAGATTAGAATCTGAACTTCTTAATTAATGGAAGACATTTACTATCCTTTGAAGGGATAGCGTTCTTAATATAGACAAACGATAACACAATAAACTGTTCTCCAATAAAATAAGACCATTCATTGTATCAACAACAGCCTTCTAATAAAATAAGACCATTCATTGTATTAACAACAGCCTTCTAATAAAATAAGACCATTCATTGTATCAACAACAGCCTTCTAATAAAATAAGACCATTCACTGTATTAACAACAGCCTTCTAATAAAATAAGACCATTCATTGTATTAACAACAGCCTTCTAATAAAATAAGACCATTCATTGTATTAACAACAGCCTTCTAATAAAGTAAAACCACTCATTGTACTAACAACAGCCCTTCGATAAAATAAGTCTACTCATTGTATTAACAACAGCCTTCTAATAAAGTAAAACCACTCATTGCACTAACAACAGCTCTTCAATAAAATAAGACTACCCATTATATAATAACAACTGCCTTCTAATAAAATAAGACCATTCATTGTATTAATGACAATTTTCCAATAAAGTAAGATCCACTCATTGTACTAACAACAAGTCTTTCAATAAAATAAGACCCATTCTTTGTAATAACAACATTTCTCTAATAAAATAACGCCACTCGTAGTAACTGTACTGACGCTGATTGAAAATCCTTCTGCAAATGCTACAATACAGTATTCCAGCTGAATCTACGAATGGACGCTATAAAGCATGGTCATATAGCACTTACGTTTTATACGAAGTACGGAAATGTATTTTCTTTGTATGTATGATGAAACACGACTACTGAAGGTGGCCTTTTTTATTGGAAGAGGGCGTAATATCGACAGTCTCAACTAAAAATGGTATTTCAAATCCTCCTTCTCATTTTGGGCTCTAAAATTTATGCTACAAAGTTTTTATTTCGCCTGAATATGTTACAGTAAATTTAGTTTTCCAACAACTAAAAAAAACACCAACTTATGTTACCGTTCACTTTGCGGAAATGTCTCCAAAATAAATATCTCCTCTGTCTGCTACTTTTTTATTTCTAATGGAAAGTAAAGGGCACCCAAAGAGAGGTAAAGGAATTATCATAACAAAAAGTGCTCCCCAGTGGTACAGTGGTATGTCTGCGGACTTACAACGTTAGAAACCGGGTTTCGATACTCGCGGTGGGCAGAGCACATATAGCCCTTGTGTAGCTTTGTGCATAATTAAAAACAAACAAACATAACAAAAAGTCTATGATAATAAATTGTCAAATAGCGATTTAAAAGCATAATGAGGTGATTCATCTTCTAATCTAAGCTTCTAGGCGTCCACAACGATTTACTCCTCCGTCTCACGAGCAGCTTAGGGTTGTCTCTGCCCCATACATTAATCACTGGTCAAAAACAGGTTCATCAAATATTCAAAAGCCTGAATACTTTAAGTTGTATGCAACATTTAAAATAATTAAAACGGTTTGTGTTTAAATTACCGCTTGGCTCATTACTTTGACCTAAGTATTGTATATATTTGTGGAATCGCTTGTATATTCAAACCATGGACGTTCTGATAAGGCTGACATTACACAGCGAAATTTATCAATAGTATCAGTGCTTAAAAAACGAAAAGTATGAGTTCTCGTTAAATAATCTTTTAATCACAGACTTTTTACTTGAGTATGGAAACGCATTATGCCAATATGATAAATAAGTTGGCAAACAGCGATTTATAAGCATAATGAAGTGATTCATTTTTGGGAGGAACACACTTCTTCTTCAGAAGACAGACCACTGATCTGTCGAAACGCGTAGTATTTTCTCCAAAATCCAATCATCAGTCCCTGTTACGGTTAGTCAAAAGAAAGTGGCGAGATAGGAACATTATCAGAGAAATACTAACCAGAGAGATTTCACATATTTAACCTGTAGCTCGACTCAATAGGGGAACGAGCTTGCTTCTAGGACTGGCCAATAAAAGGGTGAAAAGGGAATACATTAAGATATATAAAAAATGAATTCCCAGATTTTATTAAAAATGAATTTTGGGAAACCGTTTGACTGGAAATATATATCATTTTGCAAATTATGAAGAGATTTAAATATAAATGTTGCTAGAGTTTTTATTTTTACGTTAATATTTGTTTTGTCTTCATCCAAAGCCGAAAACTTATGAAATAAAATAATTCATCATCGATAACGCAAATATATATAGACGATATTTGTAATTCTATATATATATATATTATTTTAGAAATGATGATGAGCACAAAAGTACTGCTAAGCAAATAATAAAACAATTAAGATGTGTAATTATTGTGTTGTTACGAAAAATAACAACAGGTGGCAGCAGCGACAATGTTGAACAATCATGTGTTATGTTTTGTACCGTTCTTTGAGTTTAACGTTTGTATTCATTAGTGTTTGTTTCTTTTATTATTCAGGTGTCACACCAATAAACAAAAGCTCTGGCAGGTACAAACTAGTAAACATGGTGCCATTGAAACGAAGGGCAACAACCATATGAGGCTGTAAGAAAAGCTGACATGAATGATTTTACAGTAACATTAACTACAACATTTACTACAAAAAATAATGATATGCACTGACGCTTGAAAACTCTACGGAATCTTATAAAATGCAAGTGTATACGATGCACAAACCACGCGTGGTGGCGTTCGGTAGTTTTCTCTTTCTTTTTTTCTTCATAGCTTGGATGTTTATTGCGGTACAACAGAATCCTGTTGAGTATAACATGGAAATAGAGGATATGAGTGCAGAGCCATACTTTCCTAGGAAGCTAAAAAAAACTGAAACAAGATACGATATTTCCAGCGTACCATCTTATATTTTGCAGCGGAAAGAGCATGCAACTAGAACAAAAGAAGGTTTGATTGATCAAACTAAATTTGGAGAAATACCAATTAGCAAACATGGAGTTAGTGAACAAAATACAACGAAAAACAATGTGTTCAAGAATTTAGTTCCTGCAAGACTTCATAAGACAAGAAGAGAAACACAAAGTGTCGATGATTTAAAAGGCGAACATCAACAGGGTAATGGACCTCAGAATGAGCATGATAAAAATGTATTTGTAATGGCACGAAACTTTGCAGAAAATACACAAACAGAGCTTAGATCGGACCATGATCAACGCGATAAGCAGCACACTACGTTATTTAATACAGATACTACAAAACGTTTGTCCCGTGTAAAAAGCTTGAATAGACAAAAACGTTGGTTTGATTCTATTACAAAAATATTTAATATTTTTAATGTCCGAAGTAGTACTGAAAAATCATTTTTCTCAGAAGATAAAACCCTAGGTTCGCCAAAACTTCATTCAGGTCCGAGTGCACTATCATCATTTTCTTATTCTACACAGTTGGCAATGGAAGTACCAAAGTTTCAGATCCCTTTTAAAGCTCCTAGTCGCCAACCCAGAACTTCAATCACAGTTAATACCACTGACGGGATGCCAATAGTTGAAGATGGTATTTTCTGGTCAGAAGAAATAGAAACTGTGGTTCCAAAAGGTAAGCGTTTTTGCCGAATTGACACAATGTATTTACTTTTATTTAGGCCCCCCAGTGGCACAGAGGTATGTCTGCGGACTTACAATGCTAGAAACCGGGTTTCGATACCTGTGGTGGGCAGAGCATAGATAACCCTTTGTGTAACTTTGTGCTTAACTTCAAATAAACAAACAAACAAACTTTTATTTAGTCCCTGTCTTTTGCTTGAAGCTCCTCTGCGAGTCAATAGTAAGTTTGCGGACATACAACGCTAAAATCCAGGGTTAGATTCCCCACGGTGAACAGAGTACAGGTAGCTCATTAAGTAGCTTTGTGTTAAAACAGATAAACCGTCCTTCACTCATATTAAGGTATTTACTCTACTTTCAGCAAGTCATTAAAAACAATGGACAAGGTCGCAACGTGGTTGTCAAAATCAGCATAAGAATGTATTTTCAGAAACGCCTCTCGATGGCAAACTTTAGGCTCATAATCATAAGTCCGATCCCTGCAGTGAGTACAGCGCAGCTTTGCGCACAAGAGCAAACTCTTCCAAAGCAACATAATACCATGATTGTACTGTCAGATACGTCACACTTACTAAATGTTTACTCTTTTTCTGAACCTTGTTCTCTGATCGTGAGTTATAGATCTAATTAATATTCTTACATATTTGTAAACAAGTTTATACGTTACGTTTCATGTACCTTCCTAAAAGTTGAAGAACGATGCAAGAATAATCATCCTTTTGAGCCGGTCATAAAAAATTATATTTTTATTTAGTTTGTTTACTGATTTGGATTTTACGACTCAGTACAAGTTAACGATTTGCATTTAACCATGAGTGTCGACATTTTTCCATCCCCTACGTTCCCGCCTTCCTCTTGAAAGTTCATCTCCACAAGCAAAATGAGGAAGACTATATTAGATCTGTCAGTTTTCTGAAACTGACAAAACTGCAACACTAGAGTGAATATAGCTTACAAAGCATAGTTTTTATTTGCTCTAAAAGGGCCTGATTGTTTTATTGTTTCGCGCAAAGTTGACTCACTCTAACTTTGAAATAACAAATTAAAGGAAAAGGCAACTCTAATCAACACGACCCCCGCCAACTCTCCGGCTACTCTCGTTTTTGTTATTGTTTTTTAACGCAAATCCACACAGTGGGCTATCTCTGCTCTGTAACCACAGGGAATCGAACCCCGGATTTTAGCAATGTGAGTCCAGAAATTTACCGCTGACCCTACTGGGGTCTGACCAACTAGTGGGATTCCACTGTAATTCTAACAATTACACATCTACAGCCCCAAAGTGCAGAATGTGTTTTGGAACAGCGGGCCGAGAAACCTGGACCCCCAGAGCTCACTAACTACTTGGGTATTATCGGCACCTAAAGCTGTCACATCCAAAGCTTCACAGAGTAAATCATGTAGCTTTGTATACGAAATTTCTTTTTACTTAAATTGATACGTATAAGGGGAAGAGCACAATGCTAACTCACTTTCATCTTTTGAAATGGACACGCGCGTAACTTTATAGATTTGTCATTTTAGAGAGGACTGTATGGGTAGTATTAGTTATTAATTTAGATCTTCATGTTATTTTCATAAAAGTACAAGAAGAGCGTACGTAGTCCAGTGGTTATCCAGATTACTGTGGATCTGCGTGTCCATCGTTTGCCTCTTGTTTCCTGTTATGTCAACAACAATAAAAAAAAAAGTTCCACACTATAGGGCTATGGGTGCGTTATAAGGGTGACGCTCAAACCCCAAAATTAAAGATGTAATACAGATATAAAATTTACCTTTTGGTATGTTCTTCAAATTGTCTACGAATGTCTGGACATACAAAATACAAAAAAAAAATAAACAAAAAACAGAGAAATTCATTGACTGCGACTGGCAGCAATCTAGCCAGACTTTAGAGGCATGGGAATTTAATTAATAATGGACTGTTGTTCTTATTAATAGCTCTGTACTTATCACAGTATAATTAACACTGTTATGGTACTTTATTCAAGGCTAACTTTATCCTACCAGCTTATCCGGTGTTTCAATCCGTAGATTTGTGAATAAAAAATATATCTGACAAGTATTTCTGATTTCAAGTATTACTCCCATGTGTTAGTAATAATATCTTTATTTTTAAAACTGTTTTAGTTGGAATAAAGAGGTCAGAGCAGTGGAAGTCGTGACACATTTGTCATACGCCCCTTTTATTCATTGTTCTCCTGCATGGAGCGATTCCATGTAGGGGGCTCTACTTTTACAACCTCTAGGTTTCGCATTCGATGAATAAAAGTCCACACTTCATTGTCTGTAACACCTGAATAATATCAGACAACTAATTAAACGTATGCTTAACAGTCTTCCTTAGTTCCTGAGCAGAAACTCTGTTAGGAGTAACTTACAAAAGCATTAACTGACATTTTAACCTTTCATTACAGGAGTCTCATTTCAAAAAAAAGGGAAAAATACAATTTCTAAAAATTATACGAAAATTCCAAATGTGTTTATTGAAGCGAAATCTGCATAATGAGCTATCTGTATTGTGTACATTCACGAAATTTAGCGTTATAAGCCCTCAAGTTTTCCTCTGAGCCCACTAGAGGAGGATATGAATTAAAAAACACCTAAAAATCATTCTAACTAATCAGTTCTTAAATTTTTGACTCAGTTATTCTATCGTACAATTGTGTAAAATATCATTTCGTGAAACTTATATTTATTTACTTATAAGTAGCAACAGTGATTTATTCCATGAAATCGGGTCCTTTAAATTTTTAATATTGAATAACTATTCTTTTAACACGATTTACCACAATTTTAAGCTATAAAATACTGAAATATCAGTTTAAAGGCAACTAGTCATCACAACCAACTCTGGGGTTACTCTTTTACCAACGAATTGTGGGATTGACCTAACATTATAACGCCCCCACGGCTGAAAAGACGACCATGTTTGGTGTGACGGGGATTCGAACCCGCAACCCTCATATTGCAAGTCGAGCGCCCTAACCACCTGGCCATGCCGGACCTCCAGAGATAGGTATCGGTTATTAGCAGTTAAACAATTTGAACTAGGAATGTACTTCGTTATTAGTAAGTAAACTATTTTTGACAGGCACCTCTTTCGTTATCGGTAGTTGATTTTTTTATAATATGCTCACCACCACAAATATTAATTAATTAGTTTTATTTTATGTACATTCAAGTTTATCTCTTTCCATGAATCCATGACTAAAGATTAGAAATTGAGAAAAATACTACATGACTTGCGTACATAACTATCTTTTTTATCCCTTTTTTTATGCGGGAGACCGAAAAACCAGTATGTAACTTTTCAAGATGGATCCCGCGTCTGCGCTCGGTACAGAGCACCTCATGAATATCTGGTTCAAGGTAATGAAAAGATGTGTCAAAGTCCTTCCTAGTCTCTAACTTTTACTCACAGGACGAAAAACTAAAGTCAATGAGAACTAAAGTGAGCTGAACTTTTAAAAACTCTTTGTAAACTTTCCTTTCATTCCCATGTTTCTGAATTTCTAATAAATTGTTATCAGACTTGGTTGGGTGGAGATACTTTTTTTTGGGGTGTGGCAGTTGCCGAGGTAACCGTAAAATGCTTTCGAATACCTAATTATCAGTTAAAATGTATAAAATTAGTACTGCCATTTTTTTTCCGATTGCGTAGCTAGTTTTTAGCTTTGTTCAATTTTTCTATTTGGTTTAACATTGTTAGGCCGTAGAGAATTTATTTTTTTAAGAGGAACGTGAAAACCTGTATAAACGCCGTTCGCAATACTCTTTCTAAACTTCGTTGTTTTTGTAAAAATGGTTACAAGTATGAATTATTTTTCAGGTAATTTAGAGGTAAAATACACGTTCTTTTTCTTATTTTTTCCCCAGTCTATTCTACTCCAACATCTTTCAGATTTTAATAGTTTTCAGATTTTGGGAGTTTTTTTGTTTTTGTTTTAAGTCCCAATGCTCTTCGTTTCCTGTAAATGTATAAATGCTCATGGTACCACCCTTGATCGTTCATACTGCCTTGGTTTGATATTTTTGTTTAGCTCCTACACGTACTGTATTCGCCCATTCTTGTTGTCTACTACAGCATTCATCAGTCTCCTCTTTCTTTAAAATAATGATGTTCTCTTAGTTTCTTCACATATTTCTTTATCTACGAATATGACATACCTTCTCCATATGGGATATATAACAGAAAGTTTTGCTTAACTGTTTTCGTCTCATCTATTTTTTTTTATTTTTGTTGCTGATAACTTTGCATCTTTAGTTTTTCTTTGTAGTTCTGTTTTTAATAATCTTACGGCTTTATCTTGACCATAAAGGTTATTTCATTACCTGATCGAAAATATATCACATCCTTGTTGTGTTATTATAAACATACTTCCCCCTATCTGTGACACCTTATCATTTTTTATATTACTTTCTGTGTCTCTTAATGTTTAATTCAAACCCTTGAAGGACGGCGTTTTTCTGGTTTTTCACACTTACAGTAACATTTTTTGAACTATTACTCCTTTCACCAGAAACCTTTCCTATTTCGATATTATTTGAATGGTTCTTTATTACATGATATAGTATTCCCATTAAGATGCTATTTGAATGATTGTTTTTTTTTAAAAGATAGCTTAACTACTTATTATTGTTAACTAGGTTACTGTTTCTTACACAAGATAACTTCCGAAACTTTGTTATTTAAATTGTTGTTTGTTACAGATGATAACATTCAAACAATTGTTACCTGTTTCTTACACAAGATAACTTCCAAACGTTTATATTATTTAGATTATACTTTCTTACACCAGATAGCTTCCGAAAGTTTGTTATTTATATTGTTATTATTTTTTTTTTTACACAAGATAACTTCCAAAGGTTTATGTTGGTTAGATTGTACTTTCTTACATCAGATAGCTTCCGAAAGATTGTTATTTAGATTGTTATTATTATTTTTTTACACAAGATAACTTCCAAACGTTTATATTATTTAGATTGTACTTTCTTACACCAGATAGCTTCCGAAAATTTGTTATTTAGATTGTTATTATTATTTTTTACACAAGATAACTTCCAAACGTTTATATTATTTAGATTGTACTTTCTTACACCAGATAGCTTCCGAAAGTTTGTTATTTAGATTGTTATTATTATTTTTTACACAAGATAACTTCCAAACGTTTATGTTATTTAGATTTAAGTTTGTCTCTTAGGGACGACATCTTCAGTATTAATATCTCATTCATGCTCAAAATAATTCTTATAAGTTTGTTATATAGCCTAGACCTCTATTATATCTGTCGTATCTCAGCCGGCCGGATGAGCTCTGGTATTTGTTTTAAGGCTTCGTTGACACTGGATGTGGCAGGTATAGCGTGGTTGACATATAATTATGCATTCTTTTTTGCTTTTACTCGTAAGTTTATAGAATTACTAATTTTGTTTTTTTTCCCGTTGACACTGTGATTACTTGACCATTTGCGGGAACAAGAACACTAGCTAGATGGTTCGTCAGTTCTTCTGAATGACAGTAAAGCTAACCCAAATAACCAAATAAATAATTGGTGTTAAGAATAAGATAAATAATATTGCAATATTCATCGTCATCGTAATTCTGGTTTGTAAATGACTGAAATACAATTCACTTACTTAATCTGATTCACACTATTAAGTTGATGTTCATGCAACTGATGATATAAATACAGCCTAGATAACTACTACAGTGCTTTGCAAAAGTATTCACCCCTACCAATAATGCCACATTTTGATGAAATACAAATAACGTAATTTTTTTAAAATAACTTGTTTTTATTCAAAACTCTAATGATCAAACTTAACACTGTTATGTGTGAAGACGGTTTTATGTCAGCAAAACCTGCAAAGAAAATATATATACAGAAATTTGCTGATTGCATAAATATTCAGCCCCTAAGTCAGTACTTGGTGGAAGCACCTTTGGCAACAATTACTACTGTGAGTCTTTTTGAAT